ACAATTTCTCTTGATTTTGAAAAAAGTAGTCACTTATGTTCCACATTAGACCGACAGCTGTGAGCGAAATATTCAGTTCTTGCGTCTGCGATCCAAATTTAGCGGCTGTGTCGACGCAGAGCGGAAGACATCGCCAAGGCATTACCGGTAAAAAGTCCGTTACAACCAACTGCAAACATTGGAAAGCTATGCGCACCAAAGCTTCTCCATGATGATCGGAAACTGCCCCTATAATACCAAGGACTAAAGGCCAGCCGTGGTACAACGTCTCTCCGGAACCATGGAGCACTTGTAGAACACATTCTAATTGTCGTTGTCTGACATCTCCGTGACGTACAGATGACAATTCGGACAGTGGTCCCAATAACAACGTTTGCAACTTTTGATTATCACGGAGTGGTTGCGGATATTTATGCTGAAGAGCCATCTTGACAAGATATGTAATCGCTTCCACGCCCCATTCTCTCATGCGAATATGCGGGTGCTGACAAACTTCTAATAAGTGATTCGTCAACGGTCTCCAGAGCACTTCCACACGTGGTAAATTTACTAAGCCTGTCTCTAGCAGTTTCGCAACCGCAAATAGCGAAGGTTCGCGATTAGAATATGCTAGTTCCATAGCCTCGTGACTCAGCTTGCACAAGGCGTCTATCAAATGATGCAGGGCGACATCATCGAGATGCTGACTGCTCTCGAATAATCTGCTGAGCATGGCGCTGAGTACCGGTAAATCTGCCATAACTGCGTTCGTCAACACGGCGTTCGGATCAGCCGCTGTTCTTCCAGCTTTCAACGATCCTCCGGTGGAAGGTTTTAGACCAAGTATCCAAACAAGATGTTGAAGAGTGGTGAGTACCAAATGCCATGCGCTACCGAGTATGCTACCGTGACAATGAGCCAACGATAACAGCGCACGCATGCACTGTAGATTCTTTGCAGTCAACATGACGGGACCTTGATGAGCACCTAGATAATCGTGATATGACAAAAATAATTAATCGAGTAAAACGGATGTATGCATAATGTATTGTCACACAAACGTGATATGTTATCATCTTACCGATTGGTAAAGACGCCGTTGGTAGAGGCGTACCAACGGCAACTACTTGTTGCCTGTAATCAGGCTCGCCCATTGTCAAATTGTATGCAGCGGAATCCTGTTGTCTTACGGTAGGTATGCCTTGAGGTGCGTTATATAGTACAGTTAAGGCATAATGAGGCGGTAACGAGGCCTTACATATGGCTGTTATAAAGGCATCGCGCGGCGGTTGCAAATCCAATTGTCCACAAAGAGACGCAAACATTTGGATTGCTTTCAGGACATTCTCTGTTGCTGATTCATCCGTGCTACAAGATACATCCATTATTTCTGAGTTTTTATGTACATAAGATTTATACACGCATGTGCGATTTATAACGGTTGCACTACCTGGCATCTATTAATGGACTAAGAGCTGCCAGTAGACCACACCAACTAGAATTTATTAATTGTACATGAAGTTTCCGCTCGGATTCACTCGGCTGATAAGTCTGACCTTCGATACTATCGTCCTTCGACCCATTTATGGCTAAAGCGATCGATCTTACGATGTCTAATAGACATGCATAAGCAATACTGATTCCATAACCAATCGGTATTTGCGGCGGTTCGACCTTGTCGAGCATTTCCAAACTAAAATAATTGTTGCGTTATCGTCTTGATTCTTAAAATCTTATTAAAAACTTTATAAAAAAAAGAGTATAATAATATTATAATGCTTACTAAGTTGGTTTAGCTTGTCCAATTGTAAATGTTGCTACTACTGGTAACCAAATTCCACGCGAATAGAAACCAGGTTGAGGCGATACGCCAGGCCCGATAGGCATTCCTGTAAACAACGGTGAACCTGTGCTTTGAGGCATGGTTGTACCTGTTGCTGTAAAAGAAAAAAAATAAAAACATACAATATACACATTTTAGATAGTAATACAAATCTGGAGAAATATATTTGTATACATCCTTTAGAATATAAGTCAAAATATATAAAAAAAAATAACACTATTACTTTTAGCTGTTAAACATAGGATGCAATATCTGTACCTGTCTGATTCATCATTTGTGGATTCACAAAGAGGCTATGTACATAAGCTCCTAAGCTACTGACAATATCTTGAAAAATATTTGTAGCATGTGGCTTCAAATCATAACATTCACAAAAGTTTGTCAGTAAGTCTGCTTGCACTGTCATTTTGTGCAGAACTTCCAATGCAAGGGCTCGCTGCCATGTAGGTTTATCAGGATCCAGAAACTTCACAATTAAGGATAAGAATATTTCACATTCTGTTACCTAAAACAATTAAAAATATTCTCAATTTTTTAAGTACATTTAATAATCACATTCACATATAAATATTACAATGTAAACTCTAATATATTTACCAGTAAAGAATGATATTTTTGTATCAAAATCGACACAACTCGCAAGAGCCTCATACTAATAGGAAAATAAGGTTTGTCTAAAGGTGTAGCTTGTTGTAAAGATGCTGGTACTGAATTGCGATACTTGATGTTAGGCGAAAATAATTTTATTACAAGTGCACACACCCTCTCCTTTAGCAAAAAGCTAAATTCTGGATGCTGATATATATATATATATATATATATATATATATATAAAGTTGTATAAGCAATCTTTAAAATAATTGTGTATTCTTAAAAAAATATGAATCTCATACTCTATTTATTTTGTACATATATTAACTAACCTTAAAAAAAACTGATGAAAAATTTGTCAGAACTGATTCTAATAATTCCAAGCCGAAAGTTCTGGTCATTTCAGTAATACCAATCAGCCAATATGGTTGATCAGCATTTACCAATTGAACTAGATCCTAAAATAAAATTTACACAATGTAAATATAAACAAATAGAAAAATATGTTCTATAGCTTCTTAGGTAATTACAAAATATGTATCGTTAAAATTTACATAATTATATAAAAATTATAATTAAATTAAAATAAAGATTACCTGAAACATTAAGTATGCATCTGCAGCGCAAGGGCCGAGACCTTTAGGCGCTTGATTCGTTGGAATTTTCAATTCTTCTAAATTTACTTCCTCAGAATCTAGCTGGTCAGAAGTTTGTTCGTCTTCAGCAACTACTCTTTCAAATACCAAAGACACTAGTTGTCTTACAGTAGCACCAGCTGTATTTATTGTTGTACAGTCTTTTGTAAAGTGTAAGCGGAAACAAAGCACCAAGTTCTGAAAAAATACAATTTCAAGTAAAATATTTGAAACATTTTGTTGAAAATATACAAGATATAAGATAAAATATAATATATAAGATATAAGATAAAAATATAAATATACTTAGATGTAGATAAATCCTTACTCTTGCAAGAGTATCTCCATGTACTACAGCATTACTCGTAAGTAACAGAGTTACAGTCTGTAAAACTTTAACTTCCTCAGTACCAGATTCCATCAGCAACCATAAGGTATCTGTAATGTATCGAGCACCTTTCTGATCTACTGCTTGCTGAGTTATTAGCCTCTGCATCATGCCTAAGCAAAACTGGAAAGAAAACAAACACACTTAAATTGTAAAATTTATTTCTCTGGTAAATAATATTTTCATGAAGATAAAATATAAATTTTTAATACCTTGATAATTTTATATCCTTACTCTCGCAACCTTGAACTAAAGGATAAAGTATTTGATTTACAATATAATATATTGGTGTCCCTGGATTATTTGTCGCTGTCCTCAGCTTTGCAATTCCTTCTTCACATGACTGTAATAAATATACATGTATAAAGATTACTAAATGCAAGAGATAATAAATTCTTCGTTGGAACATACAGTTTCTAAATCGTAAGAAGGAAAAACATGCAATAAAAACTTCAATTTTTAAAATATAACTTGGAGTGAAATAAAGCTGACTCGCATCATCATACCTCCTTAATCTGTGGATACTTCTTCTTGGTCTCTGAGGCGAGTACCTTCAGGTCCGCCTGCAAAGTCTCCAGGAACTTGGAGACGTTCTCCGGGTTACTGCTAACAGCAGGACTCGCCATCGTTGACACACGTTACCGCTTTTTACTTCGAGAGTTTTAGTGCGACACTACCAGACGCATGACAGCTCGCTGTCAAGCCGAGAGGCTAAGCGCCAATCGGTCGACGCTTGAATTGACACTCTCCGCGATGCCGATCCTCGGCGTAGGGACGACTCCGATGGTCCATCGGAATCGTCTTCCCTTCGGAGCAGTCACGCTCGCAAATCACATCGAAGGGCGGGTCGCCGCGGATGCCCATAAATGGCACACGGTTGCTGCTGTCAAACGCGACACCCTTTTTTTACCTCCAAATCCGACGATTCACTCCGGTTCGTTCTCGCTATTCTCCGTTGCACTCCGAAATTATTCGATATGTACAATCCGTCGTACAACTACGGCAGACAACTTCATTGCAATCATACGATACGATAGACACACGGATTCGATAGACACGTATGCAACGGCGCTGCCGCGCTGTCATCCGTGAAATTAGCCGCGTTTCCATGAATTCGATATAGCGCGCGTAATCTCGAATAGATTTAAAAATTAAATTTTTTACAAATTGAATAGAATATATAAATAGAATAATGCGTACATATATAAAATGTTCATAAATATAATCGCATATAATACGAAAAAGTAGCTTCTCGCTTTTAAACTTGAAATAATCTCTTTATATTTATTTATTATCTTTATCTCTGCGTTACCTAAAATAAATACACATTGAGAAATAAAATAATAAAATACTTTTATTCAAAAATTTGTCAAAATAATTTAGAAAATAATAATGAAAAATTTCAACTTGAGACACACATATACATATATATAATCTCTTGATCTCTTATATTTATTTATTACTTTTATCTCTGCGTTACCTAAAATAAATAACATTGAAAAATAAAATAATAAAATACTTTGATTAAAAAATTTGCCAGAATGACTTAAAAAATAATAATAAAAAATTCAACTTGAGACACACATACATTATATCAGTGCATATATATAATTGCGTGTGTATCCTTACGACCATAACCTCAAATTGAATGAAAAATAACCTAGAAGAAAATATTGCAGTGTGTATAATAAAAGAAGTTCATTGTTGGAAATTATGTCACTTGCGCGAAGAGGACAGGTTTATTATTTTTTTTTTTTTAATATTATATATAATCTCACAATTTTCTTATATATATACACCCCTTATAACAAATGATTTATTATTTACCTCATGCTAATTAGTATAATTTTAGAAAAATCTGTTTTTAATGTAAACATGATCTATTTTCAGCACTGGGGAACATTTGCTTCTATTTGGCACATATATGATGCAACATGGCAAGATCCATATAAAAGTGCAAATTTATTAAAGACTTATCTTTTAGGTTTGAATAAACCTATATATCATCCACTGAGTAAGTACTATACATACTACACATTAACTTTCTTTTGTATTATCTATTCTAACACATTTATGTCATGTGTAAAAAAAACTATTCTATTAATCTCTTTAAAATTGTTATTCTTATGAGCAATAAAATAATTATTACACAAAAATGTATGCTAATAAGGAAAGAAATTAATATTCTTTTAATTTGCACAAGTATTAATACTAATTATTAATATTAATATACTTGTGCAAATTATTAAACCTAAAAAGAAAAACTATGAATAAAAATCATAAATATAAATAACTATCAAAACTATAAATAACTATCATTATATTGAATAATAAAATATATATATATATATATATATATATATATATATAAACTAAAATCTATAATTACTTAAAATTCAATTATAATTGCATATATTTAATTCTTTTAATATGTAAAAAAACAGTGTCACATAAATAGAAAATAAATAGAAAGTCTAATCTTATGTTAATTATGTTAACATTTGCTCAATATTTTTTATATAGATAAATGTGGTGATCATGTAGTAGTAATAAACAGCAAGGAAATTGCCTTACGTGGAGATGAATGGCGAAAACGTGTATATTTCCACCATACAACATATCATGGAGGTGCTACATGGACTCTCGCATGGGAATTGCATAGCAAGGATCCAACTTTGGTAATTAATTTCTTGCAAAATGTGAATGCTTAATATAAAATTATATTGTTTCATATTATATAATTTTGTATATAAACAGATTGTAAAAAGGCTGTCTATAGCGCATTGCCAAAAACCTTGCAACGAAAACACCTTATGGAAAGATTACATATATTTCCTGACAATAAGATACCCAAGGATATATTGAAAAATGTTAGCAATCAAATTAAACAACTGAGGACCGTTCCAGTTCGATTAGATCATATTCCACAAGAGGAAATAGATAACTTCCCACAACTTTTGAAGTACCCCAAAAATTACATTCTTAAATAGATTTAATGTAAATATTATATAGTAAATGTATTTAAAAAAATAATAATACAAAATTTTAATAAAATTAAGACTACTTAATTATTTCATGGTTTAACAAAATAAATTAAAAATGTATTCTAACACACTTATGTCATGTGCAAAAAAAACTATTCTATTAATCTCCTTAAAATTTTTATTCTTATGAGCAATAAAATAATGCTTTTAATTCTAACTTTTATTCTAACTTAGTTTAAAATAAGACATGAAAATAACACAAATTTAATGTAATAATTTGTAATAAATACATTTAAGATCACAGTTTCCGGAACTATTATAACAAACAATTAAAATTCTTCCCATTTCTCTGTAATTCTACCTGATTCATCATCATTATCATTTACAATTACGGAGTAAGTATGCGAAGTATCCCACTTCTTTCTTCGTTGATTTTCGTGCGTTTCTTCCGAATCTAACTCTCTCGACGATTCTATATCTGCAATACGTTGCTGTGATAAATTTTTTCCATACAGTTTAGACTCTTCTACATCAAAAGCATGGAAATTGCACAGAACAGGTACATCGCAGAACTGACATCGCGGTTCCTCGTATATTTCTTTCAAGCACGGGTGGAAAATTCCCGTGCATATCGGACAGACATAATAATCCAACGTTATCTGTAATAATGTTGTGGTGCATCTGGGTAATTTATGACCTCGCGGACAAGACTTGACATTCGAGAAGTCATCTATTACTTCACCACATAGGTTGCACTTCTCGATTTGATTGGAACAGAATGCAGTTACGTTCAACATTTCTCGAGCTCGTCGATAAGCGATATCCTCTTTCTCATCTCCATTTAGATATACTTCCAGATATTTTCTGAGTAAGCTCATAGCATGCATTTGAATTTTCGACAGTTTGCTCTTCTTCCTCAAATTATCGAGACAATCGCAAGCGGATTGTACAAAGATTAACGGTAGCGCTTGCGTTATATTGCATTTTTGTATATGATCTATATTAGGTATTGGCTTTTTCGTCGAGCACACATTGATCATCACTGTCGTCCACAATGACAATTGCAATTCGTAGAGCGATAACGATTCGAGTTTCTCTTTAATAGGAGGCAATACCGTGGTTGCATCTTCTGCTTTAGTGGCTTTAACTCTAAGTACTTCCATACAATCCCAAACACTTATGAGATTTGCACTATTATTAATAATAGGCAGTGGATCATATATTGCGTCTTTTATAGTGAATATATGCACAATACTTGGCTCTCTCATCACTAAATGATCGTACATTGCTTTTGGACTGGTTATATTAATAAACATTACTTTATTTGGTGAATGAGCAAGTCCTAAAGACTGAACAGATGTTTGTGATAAATGAGTTTTTATATCAGTGATAATTAAATTGTTCAACTGTATGTCACAGATAAAAAACTGACTATCTGTGTGCTGACTAAACATCGCTGAGGAGCAATAGGGATTATACCTGAAACAATAAATATTTTCATAAGCTTTAAAGTTAATAGGCATTTATATCATACTATACAAAACCATAACATTTATAAAATTTTATAAGCTATAATATTTAGAGATATCTACATACCAGATATATTAAATCCTTGCATTTGCAGATATTCCATACTCTTTAATGTTCCTGTCAAATCTATACATAACAATAAGAGAAAAGTGTCCTTGGCAACAAGAATTTTCACATTTGCTTTATCTTGAAAAACTATGTGTAAATAATTAATTGCTATACGATCCGGAGCGACATATTTTTCTATCAATGCCACTTGTAAATCATTATCAGTACATGTTAACTTTATGCCATATATTCGGCCATCACAATATCCAGCAATTAGCAGATATTCATTTGTATTAATAGTAATCCAAGACAATACATTTATTTTTACAGCAATGTTTGAATCTATTTTACCAACAAGTATAGGTTCTAAGCATTTTGTTAAATCTGAAATTCTAAGAATCTTCCAAATCAATATATCACCACTATGATACGCCACAGAGAAATATGCAAAGGAAGTTTTTTCTATTTCAAACAGTTCACTCCATGTCATAGCACAAGCTTGCAACTGTCTCATATTTTCAGTTATCACTATATAACTATTACTTCTTTTACATTTATTAAAATTAGATTTGATTTTTTCCTGCATATACTTTTGCCGTAGAGATGAAACATCACATATGGAATACCACTGATTGGAAGTTTTGTGCGATAATTTAACTGAGCCTGTTGCATTTAATATTGCTAATATACATTGGCTAGGAGAGATCAAATTTTTTGGTGACCATGCTGTACTCACTATTTTGTGAACTGCATCATTTACACTACTTAGCTTTGGAGTAATTGTTTCCTCCATGAGACTCAAGTAATTGTGTTCACGGTCCAGATTCCATATTAATGAGTCTATTTTGTCCACAAATGCATATGCTGGAGGATTTTCCAAAGAATATGAAGGAATGTAGGAACGAGCAAACTTGATTGTTGAATTAGGAGACATAGGTGAAGGCTGCAGTTCCTGTTAAAAAAAACTATTATTAATCTTTTGCAATCATAATTTGTAACATCAATTCGACGAATATGACTAAAATTATAATTTACTAGTTTTGTTTTTTAATGAGATTCAGCACAGTACTCTAAATATTCAGTATTATATATCATATAATACTCTCAATATTCTAATATAAATACTCTTATAGAAAACTTAAAAAAAAATTAACAATGCAATAGAAATGCATTAAATAAAAAATTGCACATATTACAACTATTTATTATTCATTTCTCTTTTATCTCTTTTGATATAAATAAAGTGAAATCGCGTAATGTAACTTACAAATACATGAACCCCTCCTTCTGTAATAATCGAGAGCTGATTGTCTGATGACCATTGTGCCGCAAATGGATTCGTCACCAACGGAGAGATACTGATACTGCAAAGTTCTTCCGTTTCCATTTTTTATTGTCAATCTAACTTCTGTTCAAAAAATCAAAACAATGGTGACATTTTAGTTGCGTGGATGCTAACTCAACATATCGCGAATCATCTGTGTACATGTTGTTTAATATTTCTTCCAAGATTTTTGTAAAATTGGTTTGTTGAACCAGCAAATATCGTAATAAAAAAGAATAAAACAAGATTAAAAATAGAAAAATAGCAGAAACCTGTAGTGAGGATTAAACTTCAACCTGATTCTACAAATCTTTAGCGAACTGAACGAAATGCGCCAAATACAAAGGGATTGTTCGAAAATTCTACACACGAGATAAAATGACTTCTTATTGACCAATCAAAATAAAGAATTTTTTATTTTGATTGGTCAATTATAAACGCTACCTTACGAGAAGGATTTCCGAACACTCCCTAAGACGCCATATTGTGACGTGTTAAATCCAAATCTGCGCGCGGAAATACGCAGTAGATTATATATTTCAAACAAATAAGATATGATACAGATATGTTCTTTGTACAATTTAAGAAAATTATACAAATACAAATTATGGAAAAGTTACAAATTCTTAAAATTTATTTTTTATCTTGATAATAAAGGAGACTAAATATATTTCGAAAAATGCATTCTTTGTTAATATCCCTCTCACAACTATTTATATTAAATAAAAGCGTATAAAAAATATAACTTTGAAAGATAAAGTTGCTTATTTTAAACTCTTACTATTCTTTATATATTTTCTATAAAACAAATATTCTTTAGAATTATCATATGTATAGATATATTATATCTTCTACAGGTTCTTTGAATCTTTACAATAAACTAATAATTTAAAATAAAACATACATTCGATTTAAAGACAGAAAAATGTCAATGACAAATTAAAGTATTACAAAAAATAGATTTTGTAAAATTGTGATCGCAACATCTTGAGACACACAAAATATAAAACGTAATACGATTATAATACACTTGAAATTTATTATTTGTACTATCAGTAAAACAAAATAAAATACAGTGAATCATTAATTCGCTAACAATAAATAATTCCAATATCATTATATCGATGCCTATTATTAGAATTTAATTATCGCGCACTAAAAATGTCGAATTTACGCTACAAAAAGAAAATATGTTTATGGAAATTATAGTTTTGTAATTAATAAATGTTATGACTATTAGTATCTCTCTACATTATATATAATAGACTTCACTTGACATTTCTTATTAATGTTAAGTGAGACAGGTACCATATACAAATGGCAGCAATAATATCGAAACTATATAACTGGACTATATAACTTTGTCACGATATTGCAATGTCCACGAACGCTCTATCATGCGTTAACACTGTCAAATATCTCGCTATAATCGCTACTATTGCTTTGCCAACGTTGCAGATCTAACGCGACAGGTACACGAAATAAATTAGATAACACTAGTGTGTATTTATTAAATAAGAGCGATACGATAAAATACAACGCGTCTATTTAAAATATTTATGGCAGCATAAATATGCGCAATCTCGAATCATAGTTCGTTCGCTTGTCATCGTGAACCAAAATTGATGGTCGGTATATATAGTCTGCCGAGACTCGGTATATTATTGATAACAATCACTTGCGAACAATAAAAAGTCAATTGTACAACGGCTTAGTGCCCTGCATCGTTGTACTTGTTGCTTAATTACAACAACTCATGACGATAACATAACGCGGAAGAAACGCCTTTGTCTTACAGTTATATCAATTGATATTTAATACGATCTTTGAAAATAAAAACGCAGACATACTTTGCATGTTAAACGCGACATTAAATTGATGCAAAAGTATAAGCGTATAAGTGCACAATAAAGTGCAAAAACATCTAAAACTATCGCGATACAAGTTTAATGGATAATGTGATCATTGAGTATTGTTAAGAATCGGTTAAATCAATATTGCTTAGCACTATAATTATTAATTGGATTTTTACTCTCTATTTGTATTACAAACACAACAGCCTGATAGAAAAATTGATAATTTTTATCACAAAAAATCTAACAAAGAAAAAAGTTTCAAAATTTTGCATAAAAATAATTTAGAAACAATCTAATTAATCCACTTAATAACTTACTTATGATAAGGTCAATTTTAAACAATTTTTATCATTCAATGAGGATGCAACTTGATCCGCAAATTCCATTTGATCCCACAAGTCCGATATGATTTAACCAGAATGTCGCGATCGTTCGCGAATTTCCTATCATGCGGAGATTATGCAATAATCGCTACGATGACAAATAAATAATTTATGTACAAAGCCAGCGAAGCTTTTTGTCAAGTGGATGTAAGGGGATCAAGGGCAGTGTCGAGTGTGTTTTGTTTGATTGCTGGCTCTCCGCTTCGCGTTGAGTCGCGCCTTGAATGAAAGAAACGATAGATCTCGATGATCTACTATCACGGCTGTGCACGTTGCTTTATAGTAATCGTTATCCTATAAAAACGAGTGGATTAAGAAGAATTGGAAAGAATTTATTCTGTAAAATTACATTTATATAATCTTCGACATTTTTTTTCAACTTAAATTTAATTTAAAAAATGATTTACGTTCTTTTCCATTTTTCTCTATTTTTACGTGATAGTATTGTTTTTTTTCTCTTTGTTTTTCTATAGTTTTAAAAAAAATTTAAAAAATGTTTTTCAATTTTTAAAAATTGGTTAAAATTTGCTTTTTCTTTCAAAGATTAAGATTTATTATGTAAGTTTTATGTACAGAATAAATTCTTTTTTTTTAATTTTCTTATAATTCACCTACTTTATGGGATGTAGTAAAACGATTACATTATCGTACTAGGCGAGCTTGTTGCCAATTAAAATAGAAATTATAGGGGTGTTAGCTCGACTGGTGGTTGGCCCATCTTTGTTCGTAGAGTCGCGACATCATCCTCTATCTGAATTAGTAATTTGTATTTCTGCAAGGAAAATTAAATAGTAAGTCTCCCACAATGATTTTTCTTTCCTCTAACATTATGCTTATTCCTTTATTATTATATTGTACCATTGTATTTAATGTCTCATTATAATTATCTCTTATTAATAACTTACCGTTCTATTATCGCCTGGCGTAGTCATCCATGCGTAGACCATGTATCCAGGTATACAAAGCATAGAAGATAACGCTGTAAACCAACCTAATACATGCGACCACCAGGGATACTCATAGTCTAGATACTTTATAGGTGTCCATTGAATCAGATTGAAGACGAACACGCCCTAATATTTTAACATCAAATAATATATTAGATTTTTATTAATATATTTTAAAAAATAAACTAATTTAAAAATTACAAATTAATATTCCATTCAAAATAAAATTCACTAATTCAATGAAAAATAAAACTTTGTTAAGTATCAGCGATAATGCATGCGCGAAAAGATCTCTAAATCGTATATAATTCAAAAATTCTTGTCATTACGAGAAAAATTTACTTCAAATTTTTAAGAAATTTACAGAAAAATAAATGCAGGAAACATTTTATATAATCTTTCTTTATCCTTATACTGTATTATTAGTTATTAAAAAAAAAGAAATAAGCAAAAATACTTAATACCTAAAATTAAACTGCAATGAAGAAAGCATAAATCTTATACTCACAACACAAATCATCGGCGTAGTTATTGTCCAGCAAAATTTCCACCACATAAGAGGATAGTATCCAATCATATCACGCAAGGCATCGTAGAATCGATTTACTCCAAATGCCCAGCTGATCGATATACACTCGAAGAAGATAAGGAATAGCAGACAAAAGCCGGAGACTGCGTACGAATCGAGAATTTGGAAAACATACATGCCACCTTGAGAAATGCACGCCAATCCGATGATATAGGACAAGGCACACACGATGGCGATAAAAATCTCCTTGCGACGACGTAACAGCTGAGGCCACTCGTCCACCTGAAAGACAATTGATCGATTAATTGAAACAATATATCTTTTTACGGTAAAAAAAGGAATTTTTCTTGAAGTAATAATTGAATCAAATATTTCAAACAAATAATCCAAAGAAACCAGATAAAAGATTACTGATTTTTTCTAGTTTAAAACCCAATCCTGACGTCAAAATGACGTATGCTTGATTGGAAAATAAAAGTTTTCAAATTTAATGAAAAAAAGTTAGATTAAGACTAATAAATATAAAACTAAAGACATAAAATAGTGGAATCGTCATGCTTTTTAAAATGATACCATAGCTGTGACGAAGCCTTCCATCGTGCAAAATTGGGAATCAAGTCCGATGAGCAACAACATGAAGAAGAACAGGCACGACCAGAGTGGCGCGCCCGGCAGCTGGAGAACCGCCGATGGATAAGCGAGAAAAGCTAGGCCTGGTCCGGAAGCTGCCACTTCGGCGACCGGTTTCTGCTGCTCGTGCGCCATAAAGCCTACCACTGAGAATATCACGAAGCCCGCGAACATGCTGGTAGACGAGTTAACCGAACAAACGATCAGCGCGTCCTTGTAGACATTGTTGGTAAATTTATTGTAACTGCCAAGGGCTACCAGAGTACCGAGACCAAGGCCATATGAGAAGAAGATCTGCGTCACTGCGTCGATCCAGACCTGCGAATTTCATTCTATGTATTTTCACAAGCATACACAAAATAATGTTAAAATATTTTTGAGAATTTTCTTTCTGAAATAATAATATTTCAATAACACAGTTTTCAAAAAAATATTGCTTTTATTTTTTCTTTTTTTTAGAATATCTAAATTTTATTATCTATCTCTATATCATTATCCATATATTATTTAAAAAAAATTATTATTAGAATATACAAATGCGAACTGATGTTACCAAACTATAAACTTAAGTTATAATGTTGTTGGATAAGATTATTTCATATAAACACTAAAGTTAATATTGTAATTATATAGTTAACTGGCATTTATGAGATTATTTCGAATGACTCAAAAGGCTCAAAAAAAGTCCGTAAATGAGAAAAAAATAACTTACCTCAGATTCCCGAAGCTTAGACAAATTTGGACTGATGTAAAACCGAATGCCTTCCATAGCGCCGGGTAGCGTAATGCCACGAATCAGAAGGACAGTGAGCAACACGTACGGGAAGAGAGAAGTGAAGTAGACGACTTTTCCAGTCCATTTAACGCCCTTCCAGATACAAAAGTAGCAGATTATCCATACTAACAGTAATGTAGCTGCTAATTCCCATCGAATATTGCCCACATATTCGATACCTTCACTGATCTGCAATGCTCGACGTCTGAAAGATAAAGACAGTTGTATTTATGTAAGCTCGATGCTAGAAAAGCGCAAATTACGCGCGTACGTCACGTACTCAGGAGAAAATGAAAAATTGTATTTATACTGACTCCCAGAACTCCTTCACAGGATCCGTAAGGTCCGTCATTGTCACGTTAACGTGATTGACCATGCACATTTTGATGACGCTACCGTTTCTGGATGAGATCTCGGACCAGCAATGCAGCGAGCTTCTATCGTAAGGATTCACGCAGTTCTTTGTATTCCAGTAGTTATTGCAGCTGCCCCAGGGTAACTCTACAGTTATGTAACGTTCAATAAAATTTCTTATCCTCACCTTTATTCTTTATTATTATTATTAAATAAAGAATATCTTTGATAAAAGATATGTTAAAGAATACTTTTTGCAATCACAAAAATTTATAGCGAATAAATGGGTTAATATGTTCACCGCTGCGCATCGACATGAAGAAGTAGAAAATCGCCCAAGCCAGGATAACAATATAGTAGACATTCATCCAACAAGACATGACGGCGGCGGCATAACCGATACCCTTGAAAAGCGGCGCTATTTTGAAGACTCCGAGGCCGCCTATCGTGAGCATCTGTCCAAGAGCCAGCTCCATGAAGAACATGGGTATACCAGCGAGGAACAGTGTCAAGAAGTAGGGGATTAGAAAAGCGCCGCCGCCATTTTTATAGCAGAGATACGGAAATCGCCAAACATTGCCAAGACCGATTGCTAGGCCGACCTTGAAGAAATGGAGAAAGTATGGATGTCAAAACAGGAGCAAGGCACAAGTTTATTTAATTTAATGTCTATAGTAAAGAAATCATTTTCTCTTTCTATAAAGATTATACATTTTTGATATATATTATTTAACTCTTAACTCTCTTGATAAAAACTCTTTGAACATTCAAGATTTTGTTTATATCATTTTGTCGATAATGTTTATATAATGAGAAATATACTGGACGACATAATAAAATTGATTACCACACTGAGAATGAAATCCAGCTTGGTGCTCCATGATCCACGATCCGGAAGAGGTTTGCTTTTACTGGTCGTTGATGTCAAATTTAACGCTGTCCTGCCGTTGTCGGGATTTTCTGGATCAGTTACCTCAGGATCGCGTGATGCCTCTGTCATGTTTGTAAGGCGCCCAATGATAATCTCAGTGTTTTCTGTTCGTACACTCACTCCAGCTGATTCTCAATTAGTATCGCCTCAAATGCGAAATTGATAGCGAGACATAACACAGTATCTGTAACAAAACAAATTATACAAATGACTCAACTCCACGATATAGTTTAAATTTTGAATCCTTAAGAAATGCTGCAACAAGCAGGCGTTGTAGCAAGAAGTTTAAAAATCTATCTTAAATTCTCAAATATAAACGAAAATAAAAACCTTTTTTTTACTTTAAAATTATAAAACAACAGTTTTCAGAAATGATACACAAATCATAATTGATAGAACACTCTAAATAATTGCGATATAAATATCAAATATTATCAGTTTTTAAATTGCACAAAGTTAAAACACCACATTTTTCTCTTTGTCTTCTCTGTTTCTACCAAATTCTCATTCTTCGTGACCTACGGACGTTCCTTCGATTTTTTTATTGTTCGGAAAATCTGCGGAAAACGATTAGACATTTGGGTCAAAAATAAATGTTCCTGAATATCGAAAGAAGTGAAAAGCTGGCTGATCATCGTGAGCATTAAAGCAGACTACTGAGAGAACAGCCAGCTAAGAATATGCGTTCTTCTATTGGATAATTAGGCTGTATCCGCATTGTGTCTCAATAGTCGTCAGATGTTAAAGAGTCTTGTTTGATACGTCAAGATACTGAAATCAAATTTGTGATCGCGCAAAAATCCTCAATTAATATAGAGTCAAATATATTATATTATAATCAATTATAATACATATATAAATTAAAATTAATAATAAAATTGCGTATACGTGTCAATAAAAGCTAAATAAAATTATATATAATAATAGTAATGAAATAAACAAACATTATACTTAGTTATTTAACAAATTTAATTAATTTGATAAATGCAAAACAAATTAAATCACATAATATAAATTCACAAAAGTTTCTCTTTCGCTCTTTTCCTCTGAAAACTACATATTAAATCTATATTTATTATATATCTTTTTTCTATATAAAAATATAAAATCTTTGTTTGAAATTATTCTAATAAAAATTCAGGATAATAATATTATAAAAATTATTATTCAATGCTCAGTTAATTGCTCCAAAAATTGATGAATTGATTATATATTAATTAATCTTATATGTGTTTATAAAAAATATATTTAATTTCACATCTTTTGTTAATTAATACTAAATAAAAGAGCGTATTTTTAAAATAATTATTTTTAGCAATTTAATTTATCGTTTTAGTTATCGTTTTTTTCATAAAACGCGGCAACAAATCATTTATATAATATTTGATCTAATTTCGATCGCTCGAACTTGCATTAATGATTGCACGAGGATGTGTCCGGGGGATCAACGGAGACTTGCGGGGGAGATCCTGCAAGAAGAGCAGCAAGGTATTCTCCGCGTAGAAGAAGAAGGGTGAGCAATGGCTATTGGTGTGCGGCCCGTTAAATACGAATGTCCGGCAGGGGTCCCGTATAATAAATATCGCGATGGTGCGTGTTTCCTTGCCTCCTCCCTTCCCACTACCGCCACCCATCTCGGCTCCCTCTTCCTCTTCCACGCTCATAAAAAACAGCTATATTCTAATTAGCCGAGGATGTGTCGTTCCGCATATCGTTGCGATCGACGTACCGGGATTTTCACATCACCGTTCCCGTTTGCGAAAATCTTTCCTTGGCGAAAATACTGCCGTAATGAATCATTGAGAAGATTTTTTTGAAGAGATACAATTGACAGATATGAATTGCTAAGTCAATCACGAGCACGTGGCATCGGAGAATGTGGACTTGACAGTTTGAAGTACCTTAAAACACGTGCTTTTAGAATACAACTCGGCATAAGCCACGTGACATCGAACGTCAAATTTAATAGCTTTTAAATTAAAACATGTATTCTTAAAGAGCTTATATACGTAATTAAATTAATATACATATAAGCAATTTATTTCTTTTAATATATGCTCCATCAAGTTAGCCTGTCTCAGTGTTATATTAAGAATCAACTGATTGTTACTATTCTTCGTCTACTACTTCGTCAAATTAAATTTTTATACAGATTACTTGAGAGAAATTAAGCTTCATGAAAATTAACTGCAAGTAAAACCAGTCATTAATTAGTTATTTATTATATGCGACAAATTTACCGTTATTTTTACTAAAGTCTGACTTAAGCTCTTTCTTCATCATGCTAATTTCCAAAAATTCTGCGAACCTTATTAAATCCAACGATGGAACCTCATGTGGAAGTCACCGGCTCTTTCGAGATAACCATGAGCAAACCGATGCTAGACAGTTTGGCGTCACTTTATCGTCGATAAGCGAAATGAGTCTGATTCGTTTTTACACACTGCACTTCTCCTGAGCACTCTTGATGGACGTGCGGGATGTAGTTTCGCGCTCGCCGCCGGAGTAGCTGTACCGTATCGTCCTCGATCTCGATCTCGATGATGAAAATCCTCAGGGAACGATGGATCCTCAGCTAAGCAACGTTCTCCGCGGCGAGCGCTCCGATCTCCTAGAGAAGTTGATCTCTGCAAAGTCCCAACTACTCGTAAGATCACCCGATCTCGAGATGATTCGCGCGGCGAGGTCGCGATCGCACTCGTGATCGTCTATCGCGGATGTACTATGACTGAAGATGAAGCACAACGCGTGTACCAGGAGGCAGAGAGGAAGAGAGAGAGAAAGAGAGAGAAAAAAAGGAGAAAGAGCAACTCCCTGCGTTGCGTTCGCGAGTGTTGTCCGCGGGATACTGTGCGTAATCGGTCTGCGATCGGTCCAGTCTTCCGTGCGCGTCGCGCCAGCCGGCAGTGACTGAAATCGTCGTGCAGGAAGAAAATCCAGGAGGGGGTTCCCCTTTTTTTTTTCCACCGCCCGTGATCTGTGCCACCCGCATCGCCCTTATGCCCACCGTCATCCCCAGTCGCGACGGAACTTTATCTGGTGGTTAGGTGAGATCGAATGAAGGAAAAAGATAGAGCACTAGTAGCCAGAGAGGGACAGAAGATGGTGGAGAAGAAAGGGGGTCATACACCAAGATCGCAACAGTATATCATCATCAAGTTGACATCTATACCCTCCCTCTATCTCCAACCCTCTCTCTCTCTCTCTCGTTCTTTTTCTCTCTTCTCTATAGGTTCGCAATTGCATTTTTTCTCTTCCTCTCCTGGTTTTGTCTTTCTGCTTCTACAAAATCCTATATCTCGCAATTTCTTCGTATAGATAGAAATGCCAATTTACCTCATTTCGTACGAATCTTCCTTCAGAGACGCACGCGCCCTTTTCTTTATGAGATTTAATCATGTCGGACGGATACATGGCTTAAATGCTTTCGGGATTCAGAATTGGTCCATCAGATTCAGAACAATTGTGCTATAACGTCTTCCAAGAGATTTAATCGTGTACATCTTTTGGATACAAAAAATCTGAAACAATAATAATCATATATTATTCTCTAAAAAATAGTTTATTATTTTGAATAAAAATAAAATAGAATAATGATTTTTCTAAAAATGTTCTGAAAAATAATACATAGCAATAATTATTTAATAATGACAGTAATTAGCGGTATGCAGTTGTTGAAATTTAAATTAGAGTTGATTGCCTTTTCGACACAAAGGAAAAAATTTCATAAAACGTTTAATTATATTTTTCGTGCACGGCATTTATTATAATAATAGACCAGAATATTTTTAAGGACATATATCGCGTGAAATCGATGAAAGCAATACCGAAATGCTTCTCGACCATTAACTTGATACTAAGTGCTATCAACGTGAAAACAAAATGCTGCACATTTATTATGCAATTACGGCGCAAATTTTTTCCATTAACGTCGCATTACTAACGATCTCTCATCAGATTGATTTGCTGCATATATAAGTATATAGTATAGATAATAGTAAAAACTAAAACTCTTCGATCTTATAATTATCATTTCCTCATTGTCTGATTTTTATCATTAAGTTATTTCGGCAGTCTTATAGAAGATTCATTGAAAGATTATTAGAAGAATTGAAACAAGTATCGAATAAGATTGCAATTAATGCAGAAATTTTAATTAACAAAAAAACCAGATTGAAGATTGTTTCGGGAACGAATATCGCACGTTTTTCCCGCCATGGCCGATTTCCGAACGTTTCCGATGAAACGAAATGGCGATAAAGTAGGTGAGCAAGACTAGGAAGCTGATATATCCGGAGGGTTCACGTGACACCGATCCGTCCCCGCATCCGTTCTAGGTACAGTCCGTTGTATAGGTCATGAGGAGAAGCCTGGATTGATAACGCAGAGCCGTAAAATGCTTTGGAGTGAATTTTTTTGGCTCGCGATGTCGAATCGAATGTTGAGGAAGTCATAATTCGTCCCATGATCAATGTCATCCGATTCACTCAATTGATTTTGTCCATAAAAATTATCTAATTTTCAGAATTACCTGTTACAATACTGGTCTAAAATTTCACAATACGGTAATTAAATGCATGTTGTTTATCCATTGTTTTCAATCGATTTTTCCTGACGATGTTTCCAATGCGCTAGCATCATCTGTTTCGAATCGTGGTATTTCGCAAATATGTTTTGTGTGTCGCGCGACGTCGATTGCTTGATGACATTAGGCACTCGAAGAGGGGAGCGAACATCCCAAATGACAAGAGGATGTGCGGAAAGTGGCGCGGGAACCACGCCGCTTACCATCTTGCTGCTTAGAATTTTCACGGGGATGGACGTGTAGCGATTTTTGAAAATTGCAATTCCAGATTTTGTGCTATAACAAATTCATAAAACATATTAGAAAAAATATGTATTAAAGAAAATTAAAATGTTCAGAATAAATAATTCACGCAAAATTGTTTCAATTTATTTAACTTTATACATACATATACATATATTTTTTTTACTCACGTATATATATATATATATATCATACTTAAATAAAATATAATGTATATACAAATAAAAGGATATGATATATATAAAATATTTATACATTCTTATTTATTACAAAAATTGAGAAATATATTTAATAAATATTGTATATAAAAGCAAATTGAAACGAATTTGCATAAATTTATCCTAAAAATTTTGACTTTCTTTAATTTTAATTTTAGAAAATTTTTATAATGTTATTTATTATATAAATAGCTTTTGTTTTACAATTTAATAACAATGTGACATTTGAAGTGTCCTAAACTTGCGAAAAATCTGAGTACAAGTTGCGGCGAAGCCGCCCTTACGAAAAAGAACTACTGCCGATTACACATAAATATTACTAATAATTACATGGGAATATCGCTGGATATCACAGGAAATATTATTGGGTATTACAAAAATATTACTGGATATTACAAGAAATATTACAGGATATCACAGAAAATATTATTGACAATTACATAGAATGTCAATAATTATTTCGTACCACTGCCGAAATATATTACTGCCAAAATATATTATTGCCAAAATATTACTGCCTAAATAAAAGAGGCTTTTTGGAATAATTTCAGTAGAGTTACTGATAAGACAATATTTTAATAATGATTTCCAGTTAATTTTAAAAGATAATTAATAGACACAACGACCAAAATATATTATTACTTTTTTTTCATCATTGAAATAATAGTAAATATATATATTGGTGATGTGTCCAATAACTTTTGTTTTAAAATTAACTGAAAATTATATTACTAAAATATTGTTGCTTTATCAGTAACTACTGAAATTATCCCAAAAAACTTCTCCTATAAAATCTTATATGTTACTTCAATATACATTAAACACGTATATAATAAAATAATAGCTATTTATTGCATACAATTTTATATATATAATATATATATACAAATATATATTAGGTATATTTTTTATTTATTAAACTCAGAAATTTTTGCAAACCTTAATATACTCAGAAATATTGCATACTTATACTCAGAAAACTTGAAAAAAAAACGAAAAGTATTCTTTGCATTATTGCATTTGCTACGAACAAAAAACTTAATTAAAATATTTTAAAAATTAAAAAAAAACTTAAAAAAGTCACATGTTTTGCACTTTGCATTTGCTGCAAACGAATTTTTAAAGAAAGTTAACAATATTTTTTTGCGTTATTACATTTGCTGCGAACAGCAGCTCGAAATAATTTTTCATTGTCCCGAGTCTTTCCTCCGAACCGTTCGTATATGTACGCTGTAAAAAAATTAGATTTGATGTAGATATCTTGAAAACACCGATTACAATATTTAATAATTCTCATTTATTTTATGTTATTATTTATTTTACCTGCAACATCTGCTACACGTGTAGGATCAAGCTGTTGTGTCGATGCTTTTGGGCAGTTTTTTCCTTTATTCGCATTAGCCTGCTTCCCTGTTAAGCTGCTTTCTCGCAGTTCCTCGCGATCGAACACTAATCCAAGTAATTCGCTTGCCATCATTGATAGGCCGTCTTTGTCATTAATTTTTTCCAATTGTTGATTGCTTAAAAACCGATCTCCAAAATATTTTCCATTTTCCTGTAAATTAAACAGAGAATTCTTTTAAAAATATATTACCATAGAGTACCATAAAATTACAAATTATTGTCTAATTTATTGAGTAAAATATTATGAATATATTATTAACCTTTAATTTGTTCTCATTACTACTGATTGTCATCAGTTGTCGTTTCTCGTCACGTTTTGTTTCAACGGTTTTAAGTACACGATTTTTCTGAAAAATGTAATTTATAAGTTATTCTGAATTGTAACTGAGTCATTTTTCATGATAGTTTATTATTAAATATTAAATTAGTGTGTATAAGTATAAAAGTGTATATTTTGCTTTATAACTATAATCAACTTTGAATTCTTTTGTATTGGCCTTTTTAAAAACAAGATAAATTTAATATTACATTATAATATTAAATAATAAACTATCATAAATATTTATAAATAAATAAATATATATATGTATTGTGAATGAAATTTTACTATTTCATTGTCATCCTGTGGAACAATCGTTTTATTTTTATAAGGTACTCTAAAAACTGTGTAATCATCGTTCAATGAGTCTTCATTTATTGGCGGATCAAATGAATCTATGAAGCCGTCAAAGACAATTTTTTGGGCATTATCTTCGGCTCTCTTTATGTAAATTGTCTACATTCTGTAAAAGAAAAAATGTTTTACAAAATATCTATTTCTATTTTCTTTTGTTTAGTGAGCTGAAAATGCAGGTGTATATTCAACTTATTTTAAACTTTTTTTAAAAACTTATTTACCTGTTTTTTTGTTTCCCGTTCATTAACTTTTAAAAGTCTTAAAATTGTCGTCGTTATGTCTTTTATGTCTTTTAAATCTAAAAACAAAAAATATATACATATTGATATATAATTTTTAATAAAAATCTTATATTATTTTTACATTTGTGAAAAAAAAATAAATCTAAACCTTTTGCGCTAGCTATTTTTATTTCTTTATTTTCTTCTTTTAATTTTAAATTTTCGGCTTCCAACGCTCTATTTTTCTTTCTCAAAGATACCGTTTCTTCTGTAAATTTTATTTTATTGTTATGTGATGTTGATAGAGTTCTCATTGATATTGCACAATCATCATCTGATGACGAAGTCGAATCCGAATCTGCACGAGTCACCTATAGATATGTTGGAATTATTACAGTAAAAACATCTTTTATTTCTCAGTAATAAAAGTAATGCACTTTTTCAATAAATAATAAAAATAAATAAATAAATAAATAAATAAATATATATATATATATATATATATATAGATTCTTACACTTTGTGCCTCTGATTGTGATTGATCCTTTTTTTTAATTTTTTCCAGTATATTTCCCGCCACTTTTTTTGCAGCACTGGTTCGACGTTTATTTGTATCCTAGCAAACAAAAATACAAGACATATTAGTGACATTATTTTTAAAAATGTATATATTTACTGAATTATCTATTATATAACAATTAGTATAAAGTGTTTATGTGTTTAAGAACAAGTTCGTAAAATTTGTTCTCAAACACATAAAAACAGATTTTTATACTAATTGTATATATATATATATATATATATACATAATAGATAAAAGTAATGAAAAGAATTGAAAGTATAATATGTAAAAAATCAAGCTATAATTAAGACACAAAAGTAAGACATTAATTAAATCAATTCTTAACATGATCAAAAAACATCAGAAATTAAAGAATTCACATCGCATATATCTTAAGTCTACAGTATTTTATAAATATTATTTTATTAATGTCTTACTTGTATGTGTTAATTGCAGCTTGAAAATTTTTTCATTTACAGCGCATGCATGTTAAGTCTACAGTATTTACATAATACTGTAGACTTTAAGATGTATGCGCTGTAAATTTTCTAATTTTTGATGTCTTTTGTTCACGTTAAGAATTGACTTTATTAATGTCTTACTTTTATCTTTTACGGCTTGAAAATTTTAATTTTTTCATACCTTAATTCTTTCTTTTTATCATCCTCTTCACTACTACTGCTGCCTTTCTTCTTAGCAGCATACTTCTTCCTATCTTCCTTCGTTGGATTTGGCTCATCATATTTAAGATAATTTTTAAGCTGCGTGTTCATGCTTGTCCAATCTGTGAATATATAAATGTAGATATTTATAATTTTACAAATTTACAAGTATCCTAATTAAATAATATTTGTCACTGCCATATATGCAGTAAAGTAAATATAATAAAATTTTTATTTAAAAACTATACTCATATTAATAACCTCCAAATCCTAAAATGGACACGATGTGCGGAGTCCACTTGCAATTAAGAAATTTTTTCTTCATTTTTGCATTCAGTGGACCAACGATGCAATTCGCCGGCCAACGAATAACTACATGTTCACCGCTTTTTATAAGTGCATTTACACGTTCTTCTCTTTCACTGTTGTTAGCCATGCGAAATATCCAACGGCTATATTCCGTTCTCGTTAGGAAACTCTACGAGAATACACTTTTCATCGTTCAACTCCTCTGTGTCATTCACCTCCATTATCCGATAAATACTATAATTATCTATACTTTCCAATTCCTCCGAATTCCTTGTTAGCACGATCGTATCGCGAGTATGATTCTTTCTGGTTTACCGCGTTATCCTTATGCGCGTACGCATGCGTTCCACAAACGCATGCTCACGCGCAACAGTTTGCATATCACCTCGTTATCACGTGGCTCTATGTTTTTGTATACATTACATCGATGGTTTTGAAACGAAAGTATTGAGAATAATGAAACGAGGCCCTTATAAAGAACATTTGAAAGGACTGCGACCTTCCTCTATCGACAGACTATTCTCGAAAGAAAAGACGAGTTGGTGTTGGTGAATGTAGTACGGGCAAGAGAACGACATACAATGAAGAGGTTATGTCCCCTGATGCACGTGTAAGTACATAATAAATAATTATAAATTTGCATTTTCTAAAATATAATTGTAATATTTGATTTACTTACATGAATTTTGAAGTTATAATTTTATTGACATATGTTTTTCTTTATATGTTAAGTATTTGCAATTTGTATATATAGTATTTTGACACATGAATATTATGTGTAGAATGGACTACCGTTTGATGATCTGCATGAAAATGAAGATTATGTAAATCAACAGGAACTACTAGACCATTTATGTATTGCAAATCTTGATAATATTGATGATAGTAATTCATCGGTTCAAGAAATTGATGACAGTGACCAGCAAAGTGATACAAGCATAAGCGATGATAATAATGATTATGACATATTGAAGAGCACAAATCATCAAGTGTAGCGATTTCAATGAAGGCTCCGAGAATTTCGAATCAGATCAGGATGAAGAAAATTTTGAAGATGAAAATATTAATGTTGAAAAGCGTTGTCCCAATCATGACGTACAGGTAAACAAATAAATTAAAGTTATTATTACGCATACAATATTTTTTAATAATATTTAAAAAATATTACAGTGCCGACAAGTTTTATATGAGGGCTGCGATTTAACAAAAGAAGAAAGTGTACTTCTAATAATGAGTGTAGCCTTACGTCATCATTTCACTGATGCAGCATTACAATCTTTCATCCAAACCATTGATTGTCATCTTCCTCGCACATGTCACGGTTCGAAATATCTATTTTGTAAATCTGTACCAAAGCAGACTTATCATGTATATTACTTTTGTCCACAATGTATACTTATTTTACATGTTGACAATGACTGCATTACTGTAAAATGCGATAATTGTTCTGAGCAGTATAAACCCATCACAGCTCAAAAAAGATGGAAAATTTTTTATATATATACCGCTGAAAGAGCAACTAATCGAGTTAGTTAATTCTAAGGTTTTTATGCAATTTCGACAGGAAAACGAAAAGGAAAGTGACGTTATCAATGGTAAAGTGTACCGTAAACTGAAAAGAAAAAATATTATAGGGAAAATGACATTACTATTAAATGGAATACAGATGGCGTACAACTTTTTAATTCTTCCCTATCTTCTTTATGGCCAATTTTGGTAACAATTAATGAATTGCCTTATCGTATTCGAAAACAACAAATATTGCTAACTGGTTTTGGTTCCAATCAAGTAAACCTCCAATGAATGTTTTTCTCCAACCTTTTCTTGAAGAACTGATAGATTTACATTTTAATGGCTTTGAAAGCACGACATTATTCACCAAGAACCAATTCTTATAAAAGTCCATACATTGCTTGCTCCGGTTGATTCTGTTGCCAGATCACCATTCAGGGTAATAAAGCAGCAGTAATGGAAAGTATGGGTGCCCATATTGTTATCATAAAAGAAAACAAATTGTATAGAACAAAATAGGCGAAAACGAGTATACTGTGGCAATATATGTACTTTACGTAAACAGAGCCATTACGTGCGTCATGCTGAAAAAAAGTCAAGAAAAAAATAAACCAGTTAAGGGCGTTCAAATGGCCATCAATTGTTACACTTATACCACTGTTTAACGTCATTTCATCATTTCCGCCGGAATATTTGCACAGCCTGGCAGAAGGTGGTATTAAACAATTTTGATGGCATGGTTTTCTAGCATCGTGAGAAAGATTGGTCCTTACGTAAGCACGAAGTGCTCTTTGATAAAAGATTAATGAGCATGAAACCTACCT